CTGTGGTCGCAGCATCCCACCAAGGGTGCTAGAGAGAAACTGCTGGCTTTGCCGCTCTGCGGGGTTGGGGGTGGCAGCTGGAGATATGGAGGAGATGTTTCCCTCTTCTCCTCTCTTCTGTCCATGAGACTTCCCTTCCCCAAGAAGCAGGACTCAGCCTGGTTCTGCTGGAATGACAGACCCATAACGTTTAGTCACAGTGTGGGGTAGCTCACTTGTGTGGGCTAGCCTGGGAACCTAACCACTATTTATAACATAATTTCTGTATGAAAATATGTTCCACATTCCAGCAACTGCCTCTCAAAAATATGTGGGGCACAACCTGTCAGTAATTGGGACTCTTCATGTAAAACTTGTTTTCTCAGAAACTTTTAGCCTCTCAAGATGAACTTGACCTCAGAGTGTGAGTAATCAATCAGTTTTCAGTGTCTGCTTTACAGCGGAAGGAATTCTTCTGCCCTGAATAATTGGAGACCTGCTTTAAGAACAACTATTAGCTTTTCTCAGACAATTGTGAGAGTGTCTCTTCCTGCTGTCATTGTTTTGCCTGAGGGAGATCGGCGCCAGCTTCACCGGGGAACAGTGATGAATGGTCCCGGACATAGTGTGATAGCAATGACTTCAGCGTGGTGCTTGCAAAGACAGTGAGGATGAGGTCACCTTACAGGGCTAAGCTACCCGCGTGTCCCACTCCAAGGACTTTACCCACAGAAGTGAGGTACATTGCCAGTGTTCTCCAAACCCCTTTCCCCTGGCTGAACAAAGACAGTGAGGATGAGGTCACCTTTCAGGGCTAAGCTACCCGCGTGTCCCACTCCAAGGACTTTACCCACAGAAGTGAGGTACATTGCCAGTGTTCTCCAAACCCCTTTCCCCTGGCTGATGAACAGTTTTATGAGACAGAAAAATATAGGGATTTATAAGAGGTGCACCTAAAAAATATATAGGGGCTTGTGTTGGCCCCAATGTCAAGTGAATAAACAGTCTGATCTTAATCCACTCTATTATCTACACACATGAAAATATCACCAATAAACTATATCAAAGAAGTTTAAAAACTACACTCATTTACCTCCTGGTGAGGCAATACTGTGTCTGTTTACCGAAGGTCTGACTCCCCCCAACCCGCAACACCTTTAAGAATGTCACAGAAACCTTCAAGGATGCCCCACTGGCATGTCCTGGATAGAGAAGAAGTCTCAAAACGTCATCTGAATGTACTCATTAGGTTGAACAAACAGGACTCAGAGAGACACCACCAGCCCTTGGATGCCTTTGCCTGCATCAGAAAAAGCCTCGCAGCAGCAAAGTCTTGGAGAGAAGAGTTCAAGAGGCCTCATTCCTTTGATGCTTAAGCAATTAATTAGATAAATAGACATTCAGGTACATTTTTAATACTTTAAAAATAGCCAATAACTGAATTAATTGCCTGAAATAGACCCAAATTTCTTTTTTTCTTCTTCTCTTTTTTTCGGCCACAGCGCGCATCTTGTAGGATTTCAGTTCCCTGAGCAGGGATTGAATCCAGGCCCTCTGCAGTGAAATCATGGAATCCTAACCCCTGGACTGCCAAGGAATTCCCCCAAATTACATTTTAAAGTCAAGAAAAATATAGCCAAATAGAAATATAACAAGGATATGTTGAAACAAAGCATTAAAAGCTGTGACTCTCACCATAGCAATATGGGTATAAAGAGGAAACACGTCTCAGAAGTGAAAGTTGCCCATCAATGTGTGAAAGGAGATCACTCTTAATAGTTAACCAGAGAAATGCAAATTAAAATGAAAAGAGGTGTACATTTTTTTATTAACTTGAGAAACTGACAATGATTTTAAAAATTGAGGGACTTCCCTGGTGGCCCAGTGGTTAGACTCTGCACTTCCACTGCAGGGGCACAGGTTTGATCCCTGGTTGGAGAACCAAGATCCTGCATGCTCAGCAGCTTAAAAAAAAGAAAGAAAAAAAGAAATGCCTACTGTGGTCCAGGATGCAAGGAAATGGGCACTTTCATATGGAGTGGAATTTTAGCTTTTCATGTTTGGGGAGGATAATTTGGCCCTTTAGATGTGTGAATAGCATTGAAGGTTTTTATACCTTTTGCCTCAGCAATTATATATCTGGGAATTTCTTCCGAAAAAATAATTAGCAATGTGCGTTCAGAAAATTTAGATACAAGGATGCTTTTTTTGCAATCCTATAATTGGGAAAAATTAGAAAAAGCCTCAATGTACAATAATTGGAAATTAGCTAAGGAAGTAAAAGTAGGCCATTCACACACGGGAGGGCTGCTACCCGCTATCGGCACAGGCAAAGTCCGGGGTCTTCAGGGCGTCCTGGGTGAGCAGTGGTTCCAGCTGGCCAGGTGAGCAAGCACCTGTGCTGTTACTCGCGGTGACTGGAGTTCTTGGGGCAGCAACACATCCTGGACACAGGACCGATGCTGTGCACACTTCATCTCACGGAGCCGTCACAGCCACCTAGACGGGAGGCTGCAGAGAGCTGCAGGAGATGGGACCCCAGCCCCAGGTCACGTTACCAAAGCGCTGAGCTAACTGGAGGGCAGGTAAGCCTGCTTCCAAATCCTGGGTTCTTACCACTGTGCCAGGCTCCTGTCTGGATCACTCACCAGGAGGAAGCTTCTAGATCACCTGGTCCAACCGCCTCACTTTTCAGATGGAGAAACTGATGCTTAGAAATGGTCTCTGAGGGTATTGTTTTGGGTTCTGTGATCAAGATAACACCCCTGACCCATTGGAGCTTAATTCTTTGGGTAGATGCATTGGAGGAAGTAAAAATTGCAATAGAGAAGACAAAACTAGTGGATAGAGATTGCCTGGCAGGAGGAGGTTGTGGAAAGGGTGGGTCAGGGAAACCTCCCTGAGAGATGACACATGTTGATGTTTGTGTGCCGAGAATATCAGGCAAGAGCTGGGGTAGAAGCTTCCTGGCAGAGGAGGTGTCTAATGCAACAGCCTCGAGTGCAAACAAATTTGGTGTGAGTGAGGGAGACCCAGCAGGTTCAGGGAAGAGAGAAAGCCTCATAATACACTATCTCATGTTCCCTGATAAGAAGTGAGCAGGCAAAGGATGCCTGAGGAGAGAGCCAGCCTCCAGGTGGAGGGGTGCAGTTCCCTATGAGAAGGGGCTTGAGGAGCTGGGCTGGGCTAGAGACGGTGCTGTCTCCTTGAAGAACCCTTGGAATTGAAGAATTTCTGCTGGGTGTTTTGACTGATGAACAAAACAGTGATGGCTGGACATGATGCATTTCCAAAGGAAATGATAAATAGATAAAACCTGAGCTATCCAATAGGAGCCAAAATGATTTTTTGGTTTCTTTTTTTAAAGGTGGTGGGTTTGTTGCTGAGATAGCATTCGTATTTGGTCAGGCAGATTCCTCATTTGGTTGTCTGCAGATTCCACATTTGGAGGGGCGTGGTTGTACCCAGGCTCTGCTAACAGCTCGAGGCAAGGGTGGGAGACTTGAGACCCAGCCACGGAATGGCCCGGTCTTCAGTGGCTCAGCTTCACCGCTCTACTCGGATACCACAGCTGGCCTCGAACAGCTCGGGGTGGTTTTCAAAAGGCAGTTATGACCTCAAAATTCAAACATGTGAGAAGCAGCAAAGAGAAAATGAGACCAGTCTAGCTATACACACAGAGGCACCCACACTTGTGCTGTGTGACCTTGGCCAAGTCGCTAGACCTCTCTGTGTCCCCTGCTGCAGATTGAGACGGCATGTGTGACCGTCTCCAAGGGGCCTTTTCTGGTATAAACTGACAGTGAGTTCTGGTTTCTGTGTTTGATTTGTCCCCAAGGAGGGTTTATCCAAAGACTAAGCCATGGGCCCTGATGACATTGCTGGCAGAGGAGTCCAGAAGTGATTTGAGAAAAGGCCCATGAAGAGCTGAGGGTAATGGGTTCCCCTGGAGCGGCATTCATTTGGATCTATAAGCCTCAGGGACTAGAGTAAAAAGGCAGTTTCGTTACTTTGTGGCCTCAATCAGAATGTTAATATTACCAATGAAATTCTTTTATGAAATCCAGCTCAATGGGAGAAAAAAATCTTTTTCGCAGACCCTGCTACATTGTGGAAGATGAAAGGGAAGAGCACAATGTAGAGATCAGAAGGGACCTTACCTCTGGACAACTAGGACCTGCCCTGGGCCCCATGCTCTAAGAGGACCTCACTCAAGCCCCACGGGGTTCAAACTCCACAAGGCCACAGGGACCTGCCCCACTGCACTGCGCCCCTCCCCGGCCTGGGCCATACCCTGAATTCCCCGCCCGAGAGCCTGGAGCCACATCCAGGGCCCAAGGAGCCCCTTCAGGGAGGTCTGAGCGTCTGGGTGGTCATGGGACTACTGATGCTGGAAGGAGGTGGAGCGAGCTTGACTGGCCTGTGGGGTGGAGTCTAGTGGGAAGAGAAGGGGGTGGGCCCCGGAGAAGAGTTAGCTCCCCCGTGCTTCCCTGTCCAGACCGAGCTCTGAGGGGCCTCAGACTGCTGAACTCAAACCTGGTCAAACCTTCCAGCTTGTTAGGAAGGTTTATTTATCTACCTTTAACCCATTATGACAAAAAGATAGGAAATATTTTATTGAACAGTCTGTTTGTTGCCTGTAGCTTACTATTTAGACATATGGTATATGGGCCTCCACTGTTACTGTAGCTCCAGGCCCAGCTAATGTCAGGAGGAGGCCTGCTCAGGATGCATTTTCCTTCCACTGGTTTTGGCAGACAGCCAGGGTTCAGATACCAGCCCTGCCACTCACTTGGTCCTAGGCAAGTTAGCTTTCCTGAGTCAATTTTCTCATCTGCAACTGGGGACAATAACAGTCCCGGTGTCCGAGGTCGTTGTGGGGGTTAGATGCGGTGATGCACGCTAAGAGCCTGGCACCGTGCCTGGCTGACGATCAGCACGGGGGAGGGGCAGGTCTCAGCACCGCGTCTTCACGTCCCGGCTGCCTGTAACTTGGTGTCCCCGGCCTCCTTGTCTTCCAGACGCCGCAGCAGTATGAGAGAGAGTACAACAGCAAGCGGTCAGGAGTCGGGCCCAGCAAGTTCCACGGGTACGCCTACGACGGCATCTGGGTCATCGCCAAGACGCTCCAGAGGGCCATGGAGACGCTGCACGCCAGCAGCCGGCACCAGCGGATCCAGGACTTCAACTACACGGACCACACGCTGGGCAAGATCATCCTCAGTGCCATGAACGAGACCAACTTCTTCGGGGTCACGGTCAGTCGCAGGGCCCCGAGCTCTGCTCTCCTTAGCGCCCCTGGGAGATGTCCGGGGCAAGAGGTTCTGTGTCACAGGCCTCTGATACGTGGTTCATTTTCTCACTTGTTGAAATAACTTCCTGTGGGCTCTGGGATTGCAAGGCTGCTGAAATGGGCATGGCTAGTAATGCTCCCCGATGTACTGGGAAACTGCCTCTCTATGTAACTCGTGGATTGGAAAGGCCATAGTGAGGTGACTCAGAGCGGGTGGACCCCACCAGCTGGCGGGGTGGGCGTGAGTCAACAGAAGCTCTAGATCCAGAGTCAGGTTCAAATCCTGGGCCTTCACTTTCACGTTATGGTCTTCAGACTACAGGGTTTTTTCAGCCCCCAAATGGGAATAATACCTACCTGGCAAGGCAGTCATAAACATTAGCTGTTACAGATTGAAAACTGCCCTAGCAGTTGCTTGAGCAAGCTACTTGTTCTGAGTTTCAAGAGTCTTGAAATAGCTGGCAAATGGGAATAATAATGACTGGCTTGCACAGAAGTCAGGAAAATTGGCAATGATGAGAATCACTATTTCTTGAATGCTTAGGATGTGCTAGATATGTGCTAAGCATTTATGTAGATTAGCTTGATGGTGTATGCCCAGTGCTAAGCACATGTAGACGCGGAGGAAATGCTAGTGGTCGTTGTAGTTAATAATTGTCTCACTGCAACTGTGTGCCATCCCTAGGAAGTGGGTGCTGTTACCACCCCTGATACAGCTGAGGAGCCTGGAGCTTGGAACATTTAGGTACCACAGCTAATCGGAGGTAGAGTTAGGATTTGAACCTGGGTCTAGCTCTTAATAGCTGCATCACACTACCCTCTGGTCATGAACATAAGTGGTCGTCATTTATGTCTCATGATGATGTATTTGTCACTGACTGTGCTCCCAGAAAATTAGGGAAATTTGCCTAAAGAATAGTTTGAAATGGCTAAAGTGCTGCCATTGTTCTAATTTGAAAAGGCATTTAGAGAACAGTCTGTCTTGGGAGTATATGAGATGAGCTGACGGGGGTATTTCTTACATGTCCATGTTCCTCTGTGTGTGTGCTCCGGCGTGGGCGGTTGGTCTGACAGGCCAGAACTTGTGCAGGTGCTGGGTGTAGACTGTGGTGTGGACTGCAAGGTAAGGTGGACTCCTTGTTCTGGAGTCTGTGGTCGAGATGCAAGGGTGAGACCTGGACTCAAATGACATTAAGAGGTTGAAAGTGCTCAGCACCGTGGGAGAGACTGTGTGAGCCTAGGCACATTTCTATGACTTTTAACGAAGAAGTCCTGGAAGACTTTGGAAGTGGAATCTTTTGGGTTGTGCCTTAGACCTGCAGACAGGGGACTGGCGGTCCCGCTAGATGGAGTGTGGTGAGGTGCATGTACTTTGTTGGGAATATTGAAAGGGAGGGTGGTGATGCTGGGAGGGTGAGCTGGGGCACAGCTCTGTAGGGATAGCTAAGGAGGCTGGCCTTATCTTACAGGCCAACAATTTTCCAAGTGTGCCTTGACCAGCAGCACCAGCATCTCCTGGGACCTGGTTAGAAATGCAAATTCTTGAGCCTAACCCCAGACCCACTGGATCAGAATCTCAGGGGTGGGGCACAGCCATCACAGACCCCCTAATGCACAGTAGAGTTTAGAATCAGTGCTCTGGGCATTGGGGAACATTGAGGTTTGCTGAAAAGAAGGAGAGTTCCAAGTTCCTAAATGGAGCCCCTCTCGACCTGAGACCTGGACATCTGCTCCCACGACTCGGAAGTGAAGGCTCTTGTTGGTTATCGGTAAAGGTCATGTCTGCAGGGCAGCCTGGATGCAAACTGAAAACTTTAACAACTTTCCTCAACCCGGTGGTTTCAAAAAGTTCTTTTTTTTTTATCCTCAGAACTTCTTGTTATCAGATTGTACGTGGTCCCTGGTGTGTAATATAAAGAGGAGATTCTCAGGTGAATGGAAGAAGAGCCCAGAACCCTTCCAGATCAGCCCCCTCCACGTCCCACCTCCCCTCTCCTGAGACCTCTCTCTCAGAAAGTCTCCACAGAGCACCAAAGGCCTCAGAAGTCCTTTCTGTCCGTGGAACAAATTCACCGACAGGGCCTTAGAGAAGGGTGGAATTCACCAGGGGTCCCACTAGTAGCATTGTGGCGAACTGTCTCAAAATACGGTCCACTTTTTCAGGCCATCTTGTCATGCTTTATTTCCCATTTAAGAGAATGAATTTGTGGTATCCCAAGTTGAAGCAGCTGGATAGAGAGCTACAGAATCTAGGAAACCTCTCCTAATCCTGGAACAGAGCATTTTGTCTAGATGCCTGATGTAGCTTAAGTGGAGATCATTTATAACTATTCCTAAATGCTGCCAAATAATACAGGATCCCTGCTTGAGGCTGCCTGAAAGGCTTTACACGGCTTGAAGATGAGTTTCTTTTTGATGGGACATTCCTTGATGCATATTTATGCCTGGTCTCCTTTGTGACTCACGATTCAGCGAATGTCAGAACTGAAAGTGATCTTAGAGATCCTCAAATTCAACCCCCTTGGGTAACGGATGAGTATGTGAGGTACGACCGGGGAGTTTCAAAGTCACACAGAAAGAAGGTTCGATTGAGGCAGGACAGTAGCTCAGAAGATGGGCCTGCCATCACCACACTGGTGCGGTCTCTCTCCTCTTTATACAAATCTTCCATTAGTTGAGGAAAAGATTGCAATAGTGAAACAGGTCTTCAGGTTTTTTCCCCTTCCTCAATCCCCTTCGTCACATATTAATATGTGCTTGTCGCTGGGCTCGAGACAGGTTTCATTTAAATTGTCTTCTGATCAGAGAAAAAAGACCGACTTCTGACAAAATAAAAAGTCTCCCTGTGGTCCAAGGAGACCGCAGAAGGCCAAGTTCAGACATAAATAAAGAGTTGGAAAGGAAAGGAACAGGAGGTAGAAATAAATTGAAGCATTTTCTATTTGCTGAAGGGTTTTCATTATACAGCACACACGGTCTCCGTTTTTCTGTTCTCAGGCAGTCACTTTATTCTGGGTCACCCTCATTCAGCATGTTTACTATACGGAAAATCGTTTAAACACATTAAATTAATTATATCCGTGACTCAATTTCAATTGATTCAGTATGCATTCTCGCCTGGGAGCCAGGCCTGTGGCTGCCAGCTGGTATGTTACAGAGATTTCTTCGGGCACCCAGGTCGGGTCTCTGGCTTGGTCTGGGGCCCTCGTCTCTTTAATTTTCTTAAGAGCTCTCCTCCCAGCCACCTTCCTCTGAGCACCGGAGAATAGGACCTGTCCCCAGCTGCACCCTGCTGGTCCGGGGCGCCTGCTCCCTCTGATTCTCTGAGCCCACAGTTCCGGCTTCTGGCCCTGTCATTACCTCTCTCTGGGCTGCGAATCTCAGAATGCTTTCTCACCTGGAAACCCTTCTTCTAACAAACACCTGATAAAACTCAGGCTCGAACTGGCTGTTAGGTCTCAAAAGCCCAGGGCATTCTGAGAATCCCAGTCAGCAGAGTTCCTATAGGGCAACGATTCCTAAACTTCTGTACACAGGTGGGAATCTCCCAGGGAACTTTGTTAAAAATGCAAATTTCCTAGCCCTGCCTCAGAACTTCTGATTCAGTGGCTTTGCAGCAGCGCCAAAAAATTCCCATTATTAACAAGTAGTCCTGGTGAGTCTCAAATAGCGACATTGAGAATTGCTTGGGGCTCTGTCAGATGTATTTGTTCCTCCATTTATTCACTCCTTAGTAGATCCTGTGCTGGGTGCTAGGAGCTGGGAGCACAAAGCAGAATGATGTGGTCGGTGGGTTCCCTACCCCGTGGTAGAGAGATGGTAGATAACAATTTCCAGTCACTGTCCAAGGTCAGCCCAGACCCTTGGAGCAGGGACTCCATTCTGCTTATGAGAGTGAAAACCAGGAAGCTGTCCTGGATTTTCCCGCAGTTCAGTAAGCAAAACTCCATGTGTGGGTAACCGCAGGTGCCTGGGCTGTGAGTCTCCCTCTGCCACGCCCCGGGGAGTGAGGGTACAATGCCAAGTTCCCTCCTCCCTAGCACTCAGGCCATACACTGTGGCTTAGTAGACTCCTCCAGGAAGACTTTTCTACCAAAGAGGCACTGAATTCACCAACAAGCTAATATCCATAACCCTTCAAAGGCCACTTGGGAATGTGCGCTGAGTTTCCAGGTGAAAAAAACCAAAATTTTTGGGGGGTGATCATGTTTTAATTCCTCCCAGTTTCCAGTCTCTTTCCCCAAAAAGGATGATGTTCCAGCCCTCGAAATGGACACATCCTTTGGGTGTGTCAGACCAAGATAGGAGGGCTCTAACCAGCAGTGTCCGTCCTTTAGTGAATGTTTCTTCTGGGTTGTCTTTCGAAACGACACCGTATTTATTTTGTGGTGCCTTTGACAAAGGCTAAATTCATAGAATCTCATTATGTCCTATTGTGTGCACCAGATTCTCCAGGAAGTCACTGAGAGCCTTTACCCCAGGCTTGGGTCAGGGCTGTGAGGCTTACAAGAGCACTTGGGCACAGAGAAATTGAAAGGGGCTCTTGGGAATATTTTTGACCGTGAGAAGGGGGCCCATTCTTTCTAAACTATTTCCTGTGATCACCTCCTCACTCCCTATGGGTGGACCTCATGTAGAAGCAATCACAGCTGCAAAGAGGGTGACCCATGAGTTCCTCCAGATACAATAATAGACCCAATCTTCATCCTTCGCCCAGCCTCTCTCAAACAGCTGCGGGCCTAGACATCTCAATTTAACATCTCGGGAGAGGCCTGCAGCCTTAAGTTCATGCAGTCACCTCTGATGGCTGTTATCACTAATTGATCTCACCAAGAAGGTTACGAAGACAGCAGGTGGCAGTTTGCAGAGTTCATTGATCTGTTTGTGTTTGTTGCTGAAGAATGGGAATCCAGCCTTCACCGGTGTGCCCCTTAAACTTCAAGTTTTTAATTGAGATTTTTAAAA